CTTCAAAGAAATTGGACTCGGCTGTAAACAAGCCCACCAACTCAGCCCAGGAGAACTTAGGATATACTAAGTTCCAGTCGCAAGACCAGAAAGCACAAGCCCATGTTCTGTCAGTACTGTTATCCCCGGCTCCTCCCAAACCCCAGGATCTGTCAGCACCAACGGATTCCAGTCACTACCAACTGCAGATACCACCCTCCATGCCGGCTACGATGGTCTGGACAAGAAGAACCCTCTCACATTGGGGAGAGCTGAATCTGTGGCCATCCCCACAAGACATTTTCGCTCTTCTGAATCCAGAATCCCCTTCTCCATTGGGGCCCTCCATTTCCAAGGGGATAATATCACCTCTGAGAGAATTGACTGCTGGAAGGAGCTGATCACCTGGCCCATACACAGAATACACCTTCCCTTCAACAGCACCAATGGTATTGCCACTGGAACCAGAATCAGCCTTCTTCTCATTGGGAGATTCTGAGCCATCCAATGAAACACTCTTCCCTTACCCTACATGTCCTCCACTACCCAAAAGACCTGCACTGGTTTGAGACCAACCTGGGCCTCATCTAACTCGGAGCTGCTGGTACCCCACACCATAGGGGCCCCCGCAACCACCTATCGACCGCTCCAACTGGCCATATTGGAGGCCTTGGGAAGAGTACCCTCCTACAGAGTTGATCCAATCTGCCAGGGAGTCACTTCTTGTCTCCCCTCCCACCAAGGGAACGCTCAGATCTGTCACCAGATCCGACAGAGGAGGAGGAACAGTAAGCTCCAGATCCAGTGGTTCTGCCAGAACCTGCAAGACTGGCATAGTCATCCCAAGACAAAGTGGTGACTTCTACATCCCCTCCTCACCCCCATGACTTCAGGAAATTCCAGGACCGTCTCTGCAGGGTTGCTGAAGAACTTTAGATTCCTTTCGAGGAGATCCAAGACTCCCAGCACAAACTCATAGGCATTCTGCATGCTCCCAGACCCAACAGGATAGCTCTCCCCATTAATGAAGCCATTCTGGAGCCAGCTAGGATAGTTTGCCCCCCCTTTCTCTTCCCTCCCTCCACACACACACCTGTGCTTCTAGCCCCAAAGGGGTAGAGAAATGTTATTACCTGCCGGCCAAGAGTGCAAAATTTTTTTTCTCGCCTCTCTTGCAGTTCACTGGTGGTCTGTGCCGCTTCTCTCTCCAATCCTATGGAGAAGAGCAGGAAGTCTGGACCAGTGTCTCCTATTCACTGTCCCCTCTGGCAAGGACCTCAAGGGCAGCTGGTCCCCTTTTCCCCACTGGAAGAAGCTGAGCAGTGGCTTCTGTTAGTCTTTTGTTGGAGAAGCCTGCGGTGCATCAGGAACTCCTGTTAGTGCTTTGGCCTGAAGCCTATAATACGGGAAGCACTGCTGACCATTCTTGTCATGCACATGCACATTCCAAGGATGGCATCGTTATGAGATGCAGACAGCAGCCTGATACTGCTTACTTGTTAAAATAAATATGTTTTGCATGGGTGGAAGACAGTGAAAGTTCTGGGGTGAGGAATGATTTATTTATTTATTTATTTATTTGTTTGTTTACTTAATAAATACATAAATAAATAGAATAAGTTTAATGGGATTCCATTGGTGTCACTGAATCCCAGCTGTCAACTCTCAGGTATGAGTTTATAAATCCTTTGAAGGGCTGGTACACATTAAGTGAATTCTAGTTCATAACTCTCTTCTTAAAGACAAGCTTGTGCCTTCTGGGAGTAAAAACACCAACAAATGGAAAGGAGATTCCTTTTAAAATAACAATTGTCAGAATTATTCAAATGGGTTATTATTTCTGTGATTCATCCACTTATATGAAATTTGTCTGCCATAGTCATTGAGCTCATTCATTACTTAGCATAGCAAGCCCTTATCATATCAGACACATTTTAGATGTTAAGCTTCTTGACATCCAGTAACTATTGAGAACAGTAATAATACTGTAGTTACTCCTATATCACCACTTCCCCCCTTGCTAAGGTGCTCACAACCATTTTAA